TATATATATACATTTATTAGAATTTGAATTATTAAAAGTTTTCTAAAAAGAAAGAAAAATCGGTGTTTTTGTAAAGATGATGCAAAAATGGGCTATCTCTATAATATATAAGAATAACAGAATATACATATTTATAAAAAGCAAAGTAAGAACATAACGTTGACAGATAATTATCATTAATTATCATTTATTTTTTATTTATATATTTGTCGACAATAATCGCATATATAATAATTTTTTCTTAGTCTCTGCACAGGCAACATATGCCTATAAAACACATTTACAAACAAACTTTGCACCAATAATTCTTCTTTCCTATAATCATCTGAGACAACTTTTGATCAAAAAATGTTATGATCATTAACAAGTTAATGTTTACTGCAGTCCATATTTGCAACATCGTATCATGGAGTTAAGTTACAATGAGAAACACAATGTATTATTTCTCTTCAATTCAATATGCTCCACATTTAATCTTATACTGTTTACAGTTTATAAATAATTTTATTAATAATAAGTATATGTTTTGAAAAAATGAAATATGTACATAGTATTTTAAAATTCGCGCTCGCGAAGTGATATTTTAGGTTTAAAAAAACAACTTTTTCTTTTTGCAAAATTGCATCTGATAAGTAGTTTTTGCAGGAGAGCAAGTTGAAGTTAACAAATAAGCGCTCTGATCTATGTGGTGCTCAGGGCCGTGCGCTCCTCATTCACTTATACACTGAAAGAAAAAATTAGTTGCTGCAACAATTTAGGGAGAAAATATGGCATAGCATTTTTAATCGGCTGCAACAATCAGTTTTTGGTTGTAGCAGAAAATTTTTAGTATAGTTGCGTTAACCTATTGAAATCATATACTGAAATCATATACATTGCGGATAGGCTAACGCAACTAAAAATGCCAATTTTTTCTTTCAATGTACCTAATTCTTGGTTAGTATTCATAAGTAATATTTTAAGATATGATTTCTTTGTGATTAGTTCATGATTACTTAAGACTATAGGCAATCTTAAGGCAATCTTAAATTATAAGAATCAATATATATGACTGTTTAACTACCATACGTAATTGTGCAATATTTAAAAGAATAGAATATTTAACAAAACCTCACCAACACATTAGTATTTATATTTGTCTTTTAGATAGAGCTACGAAATTAGATAATTTTTTTATTCATTTATTTAGTAAAAAGTGAAAGCAGTCTGCTACCTTTCATTTTTTAAGCAATACAATACAGAAGATCATGATCCAAAATTCATAGTTGATTTTTATAATTTAGATTGCTTTGAATATGGACATAACTCTTTGAGGGGCACATTTTTCTAAACAAATTATTGAAATCATAGGTCATCTGGATTTTCGGAATCGCTGATTATTATTCTGATGACTCAGATGATTCAGAATTACAAAATTCCAAATGGCAGATCCAATATTTTAGGCTAAGATCAATTTTCAAAAATTTTTTTTGTAAACTAGCTATCAAAAAATTCTGGAAAAAATATGTATTATAGTTTCAAATATAGAATACACATAAAAATTTTCAGAGCTCTAGCACTTCACATTTAAGAATAGCCAAATTTATTCTGAAAAAAACTTTTTTGCATTAATTGTTTATAACAAAATTGCGAATAAATAAATTAATGTAATTTTTCATAAAAGTTGCATAACTTAGATCTCTAAGAGTCTAAAAAGTACTCATATGCGCATACAAATTGCAAAATAGATCAGAAATATGGAAAAAATTAAAAACAAAAAGGTGGGATATATACGTCCTACTGTCTCTCAAAGGGTTAAGCAGTCATAAACTAATTATAACAAAATCGTATTAGTATTAAAATATTGCTTATGAATACTAGCCAACGATTAGGTACAAGTAAACGAGGAGGCGTGCCGGCCGAGCGCTACATAGATCAGAGCGCTTATTCGTTATCTTCAAAAAGTTCTCCTGCAAAATCTATTTGTGAGACGCAATTTTGCAAAAAAAAAGTTGTTTCTTTTAGCATAAAGTATCATGTGTTGTACTTCGCGGACATGAATTATGAAACACCCGTAAACTTGCGTAAATTTTCAAAAACTCGAAAAAACTAATAAGTATGTGCAATTATGTATATTGCCTCGAAAGCAATCGTTAAGTGCAGCTAAGTGTGACACACTACATCTTCAACGAAATTGTGTAGATATATTCTTGTTTTTAGATTATAGTGCTATAAACTAAAACATTGTCCAAATTTCTCCTCTACATTTTCTAGTAATAAATTACAACGTGACTTTGATTAAGATGAGCGATGGTATAAAAGTTCATAATACATTAAAGCTAATTAAATACATAGAAATACTTAAGCAAAAAGACATAAGAAATAAGCGTATCGAGAACATATAGCAATAACGTAATTAGTATTCAACAAAAAAAATATTAATTTGCGTATTGCATACGTTTTTTTATGTACTAGTCTAAAAGTTTATATTAATAATCAAATATTTCTTTTGAATTAGTTAAATTTCAAGTTATTTAATTTATTAAATCTAATTTTATCTAATTGTCGCAGTGTATTTTAAAAAATAATTTTCATGATATATTATATGAAGTAAACGTGAAATTTGCGTGGAATTAAAAGGAATGTTTAACGACAATAAAGGAATATAAAACGAATGTTAATCATATACAACATTATAGGCTAAACTCCGAATAAAGAAAGCAATTTTATGTGTCTTTCAGTGCCACCGAATATATTGGATTCCCTTTCTACGGAGAGCACCGTAGCGGTTCGAGAACATCAGAATATTACTCTCACATGCAAGGCCGATGGATATCCGCCGCCAAAATTAATGTGGAAACGAGAAGATGGTCAAGTAATAAGCCTCAACAAACATCATAAAGGTAAGTTGTATTAAATTATTTTTTTGTGCCGTTATAACGTGAAAAATTATTTTCGATTTATTTTTGCAGAATATTAAAAATTTATCTTTTGTGCAGCTTTCTTGATATTTTGTATTCTTTTCAATCAATTTAACTTAAAGAAACGATATTCTACGTGAATTCTCTCGAGATAAAAGAGTTATAAGTTGCAAACATGCAACGATTTTACATGAACAATTTCAGTCTACACCTTAGCATTTTTTTATATCTCGCATTATTTATTTACTAGATAGATTTACCATATTTCATTAAAATAAATAATTTTTTAAAATTATTTTATAATATACTAATGCCACTGCTAATTTTGAATATAAATATCTACAGAAATAAATATTCTTTCAGTCGTATATTTGCAATAGATATATATTACATTTAATATTTAATATACATTTAATATACATTTAATATTTAATCGTTTAACAATGTATTTTAAGGTTTTGTATCGAATTACATATTTTGTTTAGAAAATTTTTTTTCTTCGCTTATAAATCAACTTTTATTATTAGAAACAATGAAGTTTTTCTTAAGTTCATTCGAGATAAAAAATTACAAGTTACAAACTATGATTTTACAACAATTTCAGTCTTTATTTTAGCAACTTTATTTAGTACTTTTTATCTACTGAATAGCTTTTCCATATTTTACTGAAATAAATAAGTTATATAATTTTTTGAAATTGTTGCTGCTATTTTTAGATATAAATATAGATATCTATCTATAACATAAATGTTAAACATTTCTATTATTCTTCGATTATTCTTTCCATCTTGTAAATTATTTTTATCACATATTTTGCAATAGATATATAATATGTATCTTATGTTGAACACTTGATCATTTAACGTAACATTTTGTACCAGACACATATTTCAAGCATTTTGTTTCTAAGAATTTTCTTTTTTTATCGCTTCTTACTTTTAAGTAAAAATCCCCTCGCCTTGTAAATCTATTTGAGATAAAAAAATTAGGAGATATAAACGTACACCTTACATAAAACATTTCAATCTGTCTTAGCAATCTTTATCTGTTATATATTATTTATCTACGCATTTTAATATAAAATGTTTTGATCTGTCGATCTTAGCAATCTTTATCTGTATATGACATATTATTTATCTATTAAAGAGATTTTTCATATTTAATTGATAAAAATAAATTTAAATAATTTTTCAAAATTATAATAATATTTCGTTGGTACTTTTAAATATAAATATAGAAATACTTTGTGATATTTACTATTCTTTAATTATTTTTTCTTATACATATACGTATTTCTATCGCATTTGCAATAGATGTAATCTGTATCACATTCAATCTTTTAATAATGTAACATTTTTTTATCGAGATACATATTTTGTTTCGATCGTTTGGAAAATTTTCTTTATTCGTTCATATATGTACGAACTTAGAAACGATTCCACGAGTTTCCTCTTACGATGTCTCGGGATCCCTTGTCTACGCGAGTCGAAACTTTGAAGCACTGTTACAAGAGGAAACGGGCTTATTTGTAATGCAGCCGAAGTTCAATGCGGAAAGTAATTTTTGGTACGAAGATGTTCTTTTTCCGTACGTTTTTCTTCGACTCCCACGAGTCCTGGCATCGATGTCTCGCTCAGATAACAAATTGACGAACATTTGCTGAATCGAAGAAATTTGAAGTAAATTTTCATCAATTACGTAGAGATATCTGCCTGCACATTGGCACACAATCCAGCGCGAGATGTGTTAGAAAATATATAAAAAATAAAAAGTCGCGTGTCTTATTAGTTAAACAATTTCGTGTTTCTCCAATAATCCGATTTACAAGAAGTTTATCGGTCTGATCGCATCACCATAGCGACATACATATGTATACAGATACGTATACAGTATAGGTTTGAGGGGAAAATATCCAAACAAATATTTAATTGTTCGACAAAAACGACTATATTATATTTAATCGTGTGCATTGCAAATTTCTACGAAACAAATAAAACACATCATGCTCAATACAAGACATCAATTCCGTATTTATTAATTCCCGAATAAATCAGTCATTTGCGAATTAATGAATAAATGCGTAGTAAAAACCTTTTATGCAGACAGTTTGAAAGTGATTAACATCATTCACCGTCGGGTGCCATGAATTTCTCCGCGTTCACTCCAATTTCGTCCTAGATAGATTTAAATTCAGAACACTTATACGGTAATATTTTTCATGTGACAGCCGCACGTGAATGAACTTAAGTTTTTATTAGGCTTCCAATAATTACTCCCTTGCATGTTTGCATTCTTCTTATCATTTAGTTTTTTTTGATTCTGCTTTCGTGATTAATGTCGCAAATAAGATCTGTATATAAAATACTGGTAAAAAAGATATTACCTGTTTCACATCGAGTTGATCGAAAGTTTTTCTATAAATTTCTATTGCAAATATTTCTCTAACTTCTATATTCACTATTTTATCATATGGTGCTATTTTATGAATTCTCAGCTTATCTCGGACATTACACTAATCCCGGATTCGGGCGGATTAATAATCTCTATTCAACATAAACATTATATTATATTCAGCCGACGCAACACTCGAGTGCTTTACAGTGAGTTCCACGATTTTTAAATTTTTAGAATTCATGTTAATTGTAAGTAATCTGTATTAATTAAAAGATACACTATTAAATTTGTAATTTCAAATTATACACCTATCTAATTAGAGTTATTTTTAATCATTTCACAAACCGCCACTGCTCCTACTCAATATGTCGTTAATTTAATTGTTTTTGACATTGAATGGAAGTTAAAAACGATAAAATGTTATTATTTTTTTAATTCAACGAATTGTGTTACCATTGTTTTCTTAAATATTTAACAGTATACTTTCTGTTGCATACAGTTTTGCTTCGGAATATCACGGGATGTAATTTCTCTTTTTCCATACTTTGTAATAAATCATAGAAGAGCGATAACTAATTAATGGAGTTAAAGAAGAAAGTTACGGTACTGTATACCGTATTCAACATTAAGAGCAATAAATCGCGATGATAACCCGTAAAACGCGGTGGCGCACATTTATCTAATATCTACATTATGTTTCCATGCGTGTTATGCCGTTATCGTCTTTGCACATTGAGCGTTAAGCTTCAGGACAGTACGAGGCGAACTGCATACGCGCCATCGGAGAATGCCCAGAGGACATCGGCGCTCATGGTAAAGCAATAAAGTGCGATAAACTGTGCAAGTCCCCGCCCACCCCGCCGTGCTATTAGCAATGCAATTATCGCCCGCTCTCTGGCAGCCAGTGGGCGCCATCCGCCGACGTCCTTTAGGTCTCTCTTGTATCTTTTCTTTATGCCCGGAATAGAATTACACTATGGAATAGAGTTTCGCCATTTAATAATTCTGTACGCGGTATCGTTGGCTATTTAATAATTCCGTACCCGCAGGGACGTCACACGCTTCTCGTCAGAGTTCTCCTATCTGCAGTTTTTTCCGAACTCGGATTGATTGAATTAAATATCGTCATTTTTTATTCTACATTCCGTCGCATGGTTTCGAAGAATGAGTGGTACGAAAGTGACAGACATCCGAAATTGATCGATGATGCGTTTCTTTTTAAGTAAATCTTTCCTATTGGCACACGATATTAAAATTATTTTTTTTTTATTTTTATAAATTTACACAAAAATATTATTAGATACCAAAACCAGCAAAAATCTGTTTTTTTTTACATTCAAAACAAATTTACAAAATCATATATAAAGTATAAAAGTGTGATATTCAGTTTTTGCCTGGATCGAGAGCGGCGCGACTTGCACACAATCAATTGCACACGTCACTCACATCGGCCAATTTCTAGTAATTTTTAACTGCTTTACCAATGAGATTATATTATTTTACACAATAATGAAAAAATATATGGGCAATGAGATCATCAATATAGCGCGAAAATTGATGCGCAATTATAACAAGAATTTCAACTAATTTATATACAATGTATTATAATGTCGATACAAAAACTTTCCTTATACGTTTCAATTTGCTTCAAACTATTTTCAGCAAGTTGTAAACAATTTCGTCGATGTCTTATAATAAATATAGTTCGCAAAATATATTATTTTAAATTAATTAGCGATGAGCAATTAATGTACATCCGGAACAAGCTTTTTAAAATATTACGGATTTCGCAGATCTATGATAATTCGATAATGGACTTTGATGCCACTCCTCCCAGTTTTGATAATAATTGTCACCTCAACTTCAAACTTATCTGTAATTAATGTTTCAATATAAGATAAAATTTGTCACAGTTCAGTTCCAAAATTGAAGGCCCAAAAATGGGCAATTTTTTCGATCACTCTTTGGCTCGTAATGCAAGTTATGTTGGTCAGAAGAGATGATTACAAGAGAGGAAAATTCATGAACATTCGTCGAATATTAACAAACAAAACACAGGATCTCCATCTGTAATCTCTGATCTTTATATTGGAACGGTAATTTCAATTGAAAGGAAGTTAAAATTTTAGATTGAACCTTCTTATAACAAAGGGTTGATTTCCAAAAAGGTTCACATAAACAAGCAAACTCAGGGATTGAATAAATAAATGGATACACAATTTTTATTTGATATGCATAATATAATCCTCCCATCCTACAATTGTCTTCTTCCTCACGTACCTTCTTCTACCCACATCTCTTCGACTTATCTTCTGCCTTTGCTACAGCAATCATTACTATTTTACTGTTAAGTGAATGTCGATAATTTGAATCTAAGTAGAATTTATTTAATTTGCACTTTATCTTTTTTTATATATTAAGGGAATCCTAAAGTCGTTTAATTATTCTTTTTAATAGTTTTTATACTTTAATGTTACATTACATAAAAAGAAATTCGATCTATATAAAAAAGTCATGGTTGTTTCCATTAACTTTGGTAAACGATAATCATTTTTTGACTACCGAGGAAACAAACAAGAGCAAATATT